GGAGCACATCGAGTTTCTGCTTGACGACCCTGGAGACTAATCCTGGACCACCAGTGGGGGGGCGTCGTGGCCCCGAAAATTCTTTCGCGGCACGATACGGATGTGTCTGCCCTCCTCCTTTTCTTTTTATCGAATTAATTCGACGCCAAGCTTAGACGCAAGCTTGGGGTCAGCCGCCGGGGTGAAGGAATACGAAGGAAAGAAATTTCTTCTATCGAGATAAAATAAAATAAAATACCGACCGGACGAACGATTCCCTTTTCCTTTTCTGGGTTTATAATTATCGCAAATACGTCGTCCAAAATAATCCATCTCCTTTTCTAAAAAAAAAGAATAATATGAGAGATTGTTTGGAAATCGTGATAATTGATTAGACCGATTAGAAGTTGGAGGCTTCTAAGGTGAATGAAACTCGTGAGGTGAAATCGAAACGGAAACGCCCACGTAGCTTGGGACGAGACGAGGATCGTGGCTGCCACCGGCGCGATACAACGCAAGGGAAACGCAAGGGACGAGGAGGCGATCGATGGGAGAGATTAAGACAAACGATCGTTTAGGAGAGAGGCCGCGATCGTGGTTACGGAGGATCGAGAACGGATCGTTCGCTCAAAACATCTCACTCGGACCATAGATCACCTCGTGGATCCGGATTCACCACCGCTGAGAGCCGCGGAACATTCCATCCGCGGGGGCTCTCGTGAGTTTTCAACGTGGAAATTAATAATGCTGCCACAGTATCTCCGTTCCAAGTGACGCTGTAAAATGTGGGCGGCTGCCATCGTTGTTCATGCGCTATGGCATTAACGTTTATACCTCTCGAATGTAAAGCGAATCGAAATTCTAACGAATAGGATGATGATCGTGGCAAAACTCCCCACTCCGTGATTTATTCCATCCGTGTGGTTTACGATTCGGTTCGTTCGGAGGAGGGAGGGGGGGAATCTTGATGGCAATTAATCGGTTTTTGTAGAGTCTGACGAAAATGATGAAAGATAATGACAACTTGTTACAACGAGTTACTGTGAGAAATACGTGTGTTGAATCAACGATGAGATCGCCTGGTTAAAAGAAATTAATCCTTAAGCCGTGCACATGTGTAACATTGTTGCGTGTCGTGGATCATGAATTTTAAAATTCGTTCTTCCGGAGTTTCATGATCTCTTCCTTTTTCTTAGCAATGGCTTTAAGTGGTTTTAAATTCATGTTAATCGACAAGGAAGAGAATTATAAAATAAATGATAATGAATTTAATTATTATTACACTTTTAACGATATTTATCGTACGTAAGAATCACCGCTTTCACTGTTAATGATTAAATAATTGTCATGGAATATGCGAAAGTTGATTCGTTATGATCGTGATTAAATTATCGCATAATACCGACAATAAACGGAGAAAAATGATATTCAGTTATTTTTCGAAATAAAATATCTATAAAAAAAAGTATATTTTATTTCAGGCCGATATTTAAAATTACCCAATTACAACATTAATTAATAAGTATTCGTTATTAAAAGTAAAAGACAAACATAACAATTATAATTATACTCGTTACCAAGGCCTCATGTGCGCGCATAATTTTTAACCTCCGGACACAGCGTGGGTCCAGAGATATTAAATTCCGCCCTGAAAGAATAAGCCACGGGGTAATTTACTGCTTGGGGAGTGCCGCCGGTATCCCTAGTTTTTCTTCTATTCTTTCCTCCTTTTTCTCCGTTTATTTGCCACTATTCTATAATAATTTCTACTTTCACGGAATTTTCATTGTTTTCATAAAGCCAAGTATCATTCTTTATTACATATATATATATGAGAAACGATTGAAAATATCTAGATTTGGTTATTTTATATAAAGCATTACTTACCGTACAAAGTAGAACCCCACTTTTCGCCTGTCTAAAAGTTTTGAAAACCTCGATTCGCTCTTTTTGGGTCATGTTACCGTGCAACTTGAAAAATTCCATGACTACCAAAGGATCGGAATCATCGTCATCTTCATCGATGGGTTTCGTTAACACGGATGACAAAATTTCTGTATGATAATCAACCATATCTTGAGTAGCCATAAATATCAATATTTTGTGTTGACCATGGCTCTATTGATAGTATATAAATAATGCTTAAAAATATAGGAAGAGAAAGAGCACACGAATAATTTGATATAAATTTATTAAATATATTAAATTTACCTGACATTTTCCTGTAATATAAGCACTTAAAGTAACCAACCTCAATTTCGGAGGTGTCACGATATAACTTTGATTTACGCTTTGTGGAACTACTAAATCTTCGTTAAGTTCAGTCCCATCGTTATCAGTTGTTTCCAAATTTTCTTTCGCAGCATCAATAAAAACAGGATGATTCATAGCAAGGCCGGCTAATTTTTCAACCGCTTGCGTCAATGTTGCAGAAAGTAAAATTGTTTGTGTTCTTAATTCATCCTCACTATTATTATCATCTTCCATTTTTTTAATTTTATCTTTTAATATACCGGACTCTTTTTTCTCCGTAAGAGCTGCGCAAATTTTTTGTTTATCTGACTTTTTTGATTTAACATAAGGCTCACCTTCGTCGGAATCATCATCGCTGCTGGAATGATATATTTGTTTAACGTCTTCAATTTCATCTTTATATTCTGAATTAATATTCTTCTTCGATTTAACGATTGATTCTTTTTGATCATCATTTTCAGATTCTTCTAAACCATTATTTTCCAAATATTCAACATCTTCGTTTGTGAATTTTTTTATATTTTGACGTAATATTTTCATAGCATCGTATCCCGTATTTTGACTCGGAGTTGATACTTTCAGAGCACTCACTATTCTGAAATTGCATTATAGAAGATTTTTTTTTTTTTTTTTAATCATATTGACAGATTTTTACGACTTTAAGAGAACATACCCTGATATATCTTTTTCATATCCCATATCAAACATTCTATCTGCTTCGTCCAAAACGAAATACTTAATATCGCTTAATTTTAAAGCTGCTGTTCGTTGTATATGATCTAACAATCTACCCGGTGTACCGACTAAAATATTACATCCTTTCCTTAATCTAGCTTTTTCTGCTTTTCTTTTTTCACCTCCTGCTAAATATCCAGGTACAATCCACGTAAATGGCTAAAATAATTTGAATCAAAATGTGATTCAAATCTCTATATATCATTAATAATTATGTAGTGATAAAAAAAACTTACTTTTATTAATTTCAAGAAACATTCATAAGTTTGCAGTGCCAATTCTCTAGTTGGTACAACTATAAGAGCCTTTAACCCACTATTTCTATTTAATTTTGGTCTAATCTTATGCAAACATTCAACTATTGGCAAAGCATAAGCTAGTGTCTTTCCTGAACCAGTTTGAGATCTAACTAAAACATCTTTCCTTGAAAATATCTGAGGTATTGCTTTTTGCTGAACTGTAGTCATTTTAGTAATATGCATATTTTGTTCTAAATTAGATATCTAATAAAATGTTTCATACTTAGTCAAATATATTATATATTATTATATATATTATATATTATTATATATATTATATATTATTATATCAATATATTATACATATATATATAAAATACCAACCATGAAAGGATGAATATTAAGATCAGTAAAAGTTGTTCCTGTAAATATTGGTTCATTTATCGGTTTTACTAATCTTTGTCCAATATTTGGTATTTCTGGATTATGCCCAAATAAGGAAGATATCTTTCCAAAAGATTTATGAGAGAAGTGTGTATTTTTATCATCTTCTATATTATTATCATTGTTGGTTTTGAATTTTTCTATTTGTTTTTTTTTATTTTTCTTATCAAAATTCATTTTTTCTAATGAACTAGAAATTTTTTTAGATTCTTCTTTAGATTCTTTTTGATCTTTTTTTTCACTTTGTTCTTCTTGTATTTTTTTTAATGAATTCAACAAACTAACATCTTCCGATTGTCTTGAAAATATACTAGACAATGTTCTTTTAGAATCTGTATCTATAACCTTTCTTTTTCTTGCCAATATAGTTTTACCATAATTTTCTTTTGTAATCTTAGTAAAAGAAATAATAGGATTATTAGAAATATCATTAATTTTATTAGATGTTTCACTATTATTTTTATATGCTTCTACTTTAGATATTTTCTGTTGTGAATCTTTACGTATATTATTTATTTGTGGTTTAACTTTTAATTCATTTTGTATAACAGAAGATTGACTTTGATTACTTTCCTTCAATTTTTTTGCAACAATTGCTCTTAAAGATTTTTGTTTAATTCTTTTCCTAGTACTTGTTTCTTTAACGGAGACATTTTTTAACGTATTACTTACTTTAACTTTATTTTTTGTTTCCTCAATTTTTTTTTCTCTCATTAAATTAAGAATAGAATCATTTTCTATTCCCATTTTCTATTTAAAAAGTACAATTCCATTAAAATAGATTAACAATATTCTTTTTACGTTTTTACTTACCTCTTTAGCAACAGGTTTTGTAGAAATATTTAAGCAAATATCCATGTCTTGTACAGTCATTTCGAACTATTATTTTTTTAACTCTCACTTTAAAGAACAATATTACGTTAAAAATTAATAGAAAACAAGTACAATATTTAAAATATTTAAAAACACGAGATCTAACCTAAAACCACATGTCAAGCACACACTTGTACTTGATACTACTGTACAGTAAAGACACTACTGAGCATGCGCAAATTATGACGCATGAAACTTCGAGAGTATCTTTATTCGATTTATGATTAATCTTTCATTTAAAATTTGACAAAAATTATTTATAAAGAAATTATAAAATATTATTACTGTATTATTTATATTATATTTATAATTGTATCATTATTAATATATCTAATCGTTATTTTGAAAATGAATATATATTTTTCAATATGATGACAGTTAAATTATCAAACTGATAATCGAATCGATGATATTCGATTTATTTGAACTAGAAGAGTATTATCGACACACAGTGTGATGCACGATATCGACGATTGAGCATAAGTTTATTAAAGAAATATTTAATACATCAATTTTGGATAGAATTTCGAAGTTTAACACGTGTTTATTTGTGAAAAATAAAAACCTCATTTTAATGTGTTCAAGTATTTTTATATTAAATATTAAAAAGTCAACATGAAGAAAATATATCACGTTAAAATGTTGTCAGCCACAAGAATTATCGGTATATGCAATATGGTAAGTAACGGTCGATTCGTCTATGAAATTTGTTTTCTCATGTAATATTGTAAAATAATCTATCAGATTATTACACGAATTTGTTTTTATCAATAACAAATTACAAATATTCAAAAATTTACAAGCAAAATTATTATTTAAAATGCATTTATTATTATTTTTAATACAATAGAAATATTCGAATAATTCAATAATTATTAGTTTGACAAATGGAAGGATACATTCTTGTAAAAGCAAGAAGTTTCGAAAATTTATTACAATTGCTATAATAATTAATAAAAATCTTTTTTTATTCATTCAATTTTATTGGTATTTAGTATAATTTTTGGACAGTTTTATATTTTTAATATTTTTCTAGATAATATTGGGATTTACAACGAGCTTGTTTTCGATAAAATACATATCATCAAAAACGGAAATTGACTTTTATATCTTCATTCAATACTTGAATCCATTTGGTTCAATTTGGTTGCATCTTTTTATTACGTCCAATTCAAGTGAGTTTTAAAATAAATATATTATATTTTTTTTTAACAAATGTTGTGATTAATTAAAAAATAAAAATTTTAGCAAACATATCTATCTTCCCCATGTATATATATTTTTTCTTCGCAACATTGTTTTCCATAGCCAATGTGTATCTGATAATAGCACCATATTTTGTAAGTATATATAAAAAAATATTAGTTATATCATAAATTTCAATATATTCAAAATAATATCAATGCATAATTGTGAATCAATTCAGAAAATGAATCAATTGTAGATTTTTATATCTAAGAAACATATTTTCATTTTTTATAAACGATTTGCTTAAACTTACCAACTTACCATGAATTAATAAATTATTATTTTTTATGTATGTTCATAGAGGAAATCTACGTATACTATTCCCTGGCTAATCATACAAACAATAAGTATAATAAATCAAAGTATATCATTCATTCTTTCCTTTGTGCAAAATTTATCGCGAACAGAACCACCATTTTTTATTTATTCAGAAATTTGGTTTTTTCCAATGTCAGGTTTATATCTTAGTAAGTATATTAAAATTATCGAATTGTAATTAAATTATAATTACAAATTTGTTTTTTAAATATAAGCTAAATCAAATAACGAATGAAATTTATGTTCGATCTAGTATTTTCTATATATTCATGGTCTACTGTGAATGATATTCGGAAAAAATGGATAAAAGAGCAATCTAATCATCGTAGATTCTTCACACTCAATAACACAAATGACATCAATGATGAAAGTTAATAATGATTACGGACAAAACTGGCCATCATTTCCTTCTGCTTCTTGGAGAAATATGGAGAAACTCGATTATATGTAAGCTACAATATAATCAAATTATTTAAATAAATTATTTATGTATCATAAGTTAAGCATCTCTAATAATAATCTATTTATTTATAACGTTTTGATTAGATGGATTGAGATTTGATTTTCTGATTAACGAAACTCGAATTTGAATCTGTCTACATGTATATAAGGTCTTGAAATTTTCAAAATTTGAAACTTTCGAAAAATATATATAGTCTTTTATAGTCTTATTTTATATATATTTATAGTCTTTTCATGAAGTTTTCTCTTCTCTGAATTTGTTAGATTCGTAGTTCGCCAATAATAACAATAATCATGTTTTTAATTTACAAAAAATGGAAGACCTCTCGATCACAAAAAGTTAATAAAAAATTTCCAAGTTCGAATATCATAATTCATTCATAAGTCATTCATTATATCTTATAAAATTATCACTTTCGCGATACATTATAACACGTTGCCAATCCATAATAACTTGTTCTATAATAAAAAAAATTCGTATGATCATCACTCTTTTTTATCATCTTCTTAGAAAGATCTTCGTTACCGGAGAAGATTCGATTCTTAAATCCGCATAATAACCATTGATCTGTCGCTAGTAGACTAATGGAATATGTAATAATGTGCTCAGAATAGGCAAAGTACCAGAATACGATGAATCTCGGGTCCCGTTACGAGGAAAATGTATAATAATGCGGGTAAACCGATAAATCAGGCCAGGGATGCGACTAATAGAGTGTATCAAATGCGCCCACGACGGAGCGTGGCTGCATAGAAAATATGAGAAATGGCCACGTTTTACGTCGAAATACTTTTAAACTTCCGGGATTTGAATCGCGCGTAAGCATATTCCCTATATAGGGACCGGCGTCTCCTAGATGGAAGTCGATTTGTCCGAAAATGGTCGGAACTTTTCGCGAAACTCCTGAGAATAATGATCGAGGGTACAATGGCTGATGGAAAAAGCCCCTTCCCACGATTTATTTGGGGCGTTTCATTTCATCCTAGCCGATCATTTGCGTTCGTCTAAAGCATCAATGGACGTGATTTTTACAATTTTCCATCGTGCAAATTTCTCTCAAATTCATGATAATTATATGTGAACATAACGTGTACAGATAGATTGATATTTATGTAACTGCATATACGTATCTTTATAGAGAAGAGATAATGAGTAATGAGATTTGAGTATTAAAGAGAATTTTATTTTGTAATCAGTGTATTTTAAAAATTTTTTTTTTTTTTTGCATATTAGAGATACCAATTTTTGCATAAATATTAACACTTTATGTAATATATTAATCATAATACATAATACATAAGTTTATCTATAATATGATATTATACATTGAAATTTATCTTTTAGAAATTGGAAAAAACTTTTCGTTCAACGACTGCAAGCATGAAGGACACACACGGTGGGGTACGCGACGTGGTTGGTTGGCGGTGCTTTTAAAAAGAACTGAGCGAGCCAATTTGTAAGCTGTCGCAAACTTTTAAAACACTAGTTGACAGCCGAGTCCACCCCCTCGCAACTTGTGCACCCTCCTCGACACTCGTCCAACCATCCAGAAGGAATCCAACCACCATTCGACGTCTCTCTCTCGTTCTTAGACCGGGCGTACCAGCGAAACTCACCCCTCCGTGTCGTGGAAGCCGATGGATTGTAAAATAAAACTAACTTGGCTCTTTCGTGGATCGAGAACGGAGTACCGTCGAAATCTTATTCCCTCGGGTCTCTTTTATTTTCGTGTACCCCTTTTTTTTCACCAATCACTGGTCCAATCGGGAAAAAGAAACTCTCCGTAAAGAGAGTAGATACGTACTTCTTAAGGGTAATTATTCGAATTCAAGTTTAAATCGTTCGAAAGAATTATTTTTCCTATATTTCGTAATTTTTTTTTTTTTTTTCTTAACAATCGAATGAAAGAATGATGCTTATTCGAAGGATGAGCAGATATTTATCGAATATTTAATTCGAAAAGAGATAGTTTTTCACGCGCGTACCGTTCACTTTATTTTTCTCGATATCTTCGCACAAGTTGAAATACTTTTACGAGTATCCAAGGGTTAAGGAGAAGGGTAGTCACACGCATGACGTACATAAAGGGTGGCGGAGATGTAATTAATCTTCTTGTATGACACTTTGGCTGGTTACGGGGCAAAGCTTGCCAGAAGCCAGAACACAACATCCCACTTAAGCTCGACGCCTAGAAAACAATTAATACGAAATTGATTAATAATTATTGCGTCCCAGTTTCGATACTCGTGGCATGGTCTCTAGACTCGCTAGTCATCTAATCGCCAAAAAAATAAATTCTTTCATCAATGTTAAGTTATTCGAACTCGTGCAGTGATACCTTTCCTCCGATCAGTTATCCATAAGGATAATTTTTAATTCGAAAATTATCATTCATCATTACGAACGTTATTTTACTTTGACATAATTATTGAAAAGAAAACACTAATCGATAAATGTTTGTTTCAATTTTTAATAAATTTTTCAAATTTTTTGCAGCTGTTTCCCTGTGATTTGATATTAAAATATCAAGGAACAAATTTATCATTGTTCCCTTAATCAAAAGTTAGTTTAGACACAAGAGAGATGTTGCATTTTTATTCCACGAATCTTACACGATTTAACATTTTTTAGATGTGAAATCACCTGAAGAACTGTCAAAAATGGACCTATCTCCCCTTAGCCGAGATCCACAGATTCCATTCGATATTTTGGCAAATAGAGGCAGTGGTGAGTCGAATCTTTAAACCGTCTGAGGGGGCCGGTACGGAGTGGTCGGTACGAGGAACGGTTCCACTCCTTTTGTGACATTTATTTGTTCGCCGCCAAAAACGGACAGTCGATTTGGCATTACTTTTCCAGACAGACAGATTTTATTGATCTGCCGCTGTTCGTGCTCTGCTCCCGAACGAGAGTTGGAAAGAGCGAGAGGGCAAAAAGAGGAGCGGAACAGGAGCGAAAGAGAGGATGATAGAACGGCGGAACTGAACGCCCCATAAAGCTAACCAATGCTAATACTTCGCATCTCCGCAGTGGCGTCCTTTCGCGATCGCGTACCTCGTGCTATCGCTCGTTTAATCGGACAGTTTGGAAAATACGATTCGACGCCGCTGCCCTGGACCGGAATCGGCAATAAACGCGTAACCGAGCCTAATTCGTAATGTTGGCTCAGTCATTGTGGCCCATTGTGAACTCTCTTCCCCTGTTATTCAGGGGCTACGAGTATAATGGTGGGGTTATCACAGGAAACTGGCAAGTAACGACAGTAAGAGGCATGAACTCTTCCGAATATATTTATTCTCTTTTGATTTAATATATCTTGTTTTTATATAAAAGATTCGAATTAATATTTAATAGATCTTTTATGGATGTATTCTTATTTTTGTCGAGAATGAATTAAAAGATTCTTAAAAGAGAGGTAAATTATTTTCGAGTTATTTTAATTATTAAATCGATTATTTTAATTAATAAAAATTTTACAAATTTCGATCGATTTACTTGAAATAATTTTTCTTTTTTCCTTTCTCTTTCAGAAGTTCAGGAGCATGAATCAATGAATATTATTCGGGAAACGAACAAAGGCGGGAAATCGCATTCTTTTCGAATTTCTTTGCATCGAAACGGGGGCGGCACGTGCTCGTCCTTTTTTCCCTTTTCTGAAAGATGGATGGACAACGGGGAGCGGCGGAAATAAATTTGTGAACACGATGGACGACGTAGCACAATAACTGCGTTTAATACTACATTAAACACGATACAGAGAGAGAGAATCTACCCCGCGACCACCGTGACCAAGTTTCTTGGACAATACACGATGGCTGTATTAGTGGACGAGGGATGAAAATTTATACGCACGTGATCACGGAGTTCGCGTGTAAACATCTTTGCGCTTTTCTCATACATTTTTATCTCTGAAATTCACATCATATAAATCAGTAAAGGTAAAGAATGAAATTAATAAAAAAAGATCTGGTAATCCATTTAAAAAACAAATCTAATTTAAATTTTCTCAACGTGCATCTTCGAACAGCCCTCAAGAATCTTCTCCTCGAATCAATTTCCCTGTAATTTCCCTGGGACGCACACCCTGCTGCTGTCGTTCACAAAGTGATCCAAGATCGATCTTCGTAGAAAACGTTAGATCGATGAGCAGGAAAAAGAGAACGAGGGGTACGGTGTCCGGTTATCTGGTCGGTCGATTCAAAGTGGCGGAAGCGAGCGAGAGGGATGGTGGGCGGAAGGAGCCGGTTTTTCGAGAATGGCTGCTGTAGGTGTCGAAGGGACACGGGGCTCGAACGAGGCCGCAATTAGGCGGCCCCGGGGTCGACGTGCAACGACGAGGTCGGGCATTATGCAAAGCAGATTTTAAATTTAGATGTGGCCCACCGTGCCCACACGCCTCTCACTCTCTCTCTCTCTCTCTCTCTCTCTACACGCACACACACCCCCGCGATACGCAGAGCCCCGACTGCACAAGGAACTGTGCACACGGACAGTGGAGGACACGCGAGCGTGTTGTGCTCGACAAATTAGCGCGTTTTAAATCCAATCTAAGCCGAAAGGGGAAGGGAATCGTTATGGATGGCGGCGGAGGGGGCAGCTCCGAGGGATACTCGGCGAGCTGTTTTGCATTTCTGGCTCGCGCGCGCGCGCCCAACATTTGAGGTGTAAAATATTAAATCCAGGCGCCTCCGCCATATCGCCTACGTCCTCGAAAGAGACGGAGGAGGAGGAGGAGGAGGAGGAGGAGGAGGAGGAGGCGGATGGAAACGGTGCGCGGATAGGGGTGCAGGATGTGCGGAGGAGGGGAGGGGGAGGGGGAGAGGGGGGGGGTCGAGAAGGGGTCCGTTGCTAGATGGGGGAGAGGATATGGCGAGGGTGGCTCTGCGGCGCGCACTCAGCGAGTTTACATTTAAATGTAAAAGTGCCGAGTGCTGCTAGGCGAAAGCTGCTGTTTTGCATTCGAAAGCTCATGATTGCCTCTGAGCTTTGCTTTTGACGTCGAGCGTTTCTCGCAACCGACGGACGGCGAGAGGCCGCTAGTCGAAGCTGCGCGGAGAATTCCGCCGCGTTTCGAACAGATGGAACGAGCTCAGAGCTTCCGGAAAAATTCCGCACAAACGGAATCGACGATTATCCCGAAACCGGTCCTGCTCTCGGAACGAGTGCACCAATTAATCAACCCCGGTTGTCACACTCCTCGCGCGGCCATCAACCATACCCAAAGTCCTCTCTGATTGTCATTAATATATTAATCGGATGCTCGTTAAGCGCGAAATATAATCGTGTCGCGCCAGTCAACGAGTTAAATGGATCGACGGTTAATTAACAACGGCCATCTAGCTACGCCCGTCACAAGGAAATTCGATGAATTTTCGGACATTTCTCTAATCTCCAACGCGTTGCCTATTTTTTTTCTTTTCTTTTTTTTTTTTTTTTCTATAAAATTTCTCCATGATTTTAACCGTCTTCTCGAGTTTCAGGTTTTAGATTTTCGTCAATCAACGAGTTAAATGGACGAAGATTAATTAACGACGATCATCCAGCTATCATCCAGCACGAAATTTCTCCATGATTTTAACCATCTTCTTCATTTTCAGGATACGTCAAGATTTTCGTCAATCAATTAAATGGACGAAGATTAATTAACGACGATCATCCAGCACGAAAATTCGAATGAACTTTTATGAACGTATATGTTGCGTTCTACGAAATTTCGTTATATTTTCAATCTTTTAATTATTTTCTAAAATTATTATAGAAAGGTAAGCGAAGATTTTCGCCGAAGGTGCATGTTACGTTACACATGTGCCGATGAAATTTCACCCATACACACAAGCACGATTTATTTCCAGGTTCTAATCAATTCTCGGAACGAAACGACAGACACACGAGGTTACGAGCTAACCCGCTGTTATTCTTCTAATATGTATGTTTCTTATGTGCGCCGGTAAAAGGGCTTCGTGCAATTTCCTATGATAGATCGAGTCCCGCGGACAAGTTCCATTACGGCCAGCCTCTGAATTATTGAACTGGCAATTCCCTGGCGACACGCGGGACACCCTGCATCAAAGTGTCAACGGGCTCATTAAGTCTCCAAATCAGGTGAACTAACGCGTTAACTGTTCTACCCTTGAACTCTCTGATAAACGGATTGATTAAGTTTTTGTTTCAAAGAAAGGAAAAAAAAAAAAAATAGTAAGTAATTATCGATAAGCATTTTTTTTAATACAAAACAATTCAAGTCATTCTATAAAGTTTCATCATTTTCTTTTACTAATATTATATTTTTAAAAAATTAGTATGAGCTTTTTAAAAGGAATTTTAATACATGTGTCGAGAAATGAAGCGATAGGATATCAGATTTCATCGATATAAGGAACGTTTCAAGATTGGAGTGTATTGGGTTTATATTGAGTTTTATAACGGGGAATTAATAATATTCAAAACCGTATGAAATGGTTTTATATCGAATAATCAAGGTGTAACGTTACACGAAACTAGGTTTGCTCGATTCTTTTTAAGTTTCATCTTACGAATCAGGAGCATTTGCATTCCGGCCGATAAAAAGCAGAAGATCACCGATAAAGATTAAATCTATTTGTAATCCCTTGAAACAGGACCTGTTACTGCAAACTGCGGTATCTTTGCGCGCGATCACCGACACGGAGAGAAAACGAGAGAGAATGGCCCTCTCGATTGGTATCTGAAAATCGCCCTTCTACTCCATATGCTGGGTTAATAAGAACCCTAATAACGGGTACCACCCCATCGATACATAGGGACTGTCACTAAATATTTTTCTTCCTCAACGGTCGCTTTGGGAATTCGGCCGTGTCGATGCTCTAATACATATGTCGTCCACGCAGTTTCGTGAAACATTGATCCATCTCTTGCAAATTTTATTCCCTCCCCCCCGTTTCTCGAGAAGAGAAATTTTTCACGAATTAGATAATTGACGTACAGAACGAAGAACAGTAGAATTCCATTTATGTGAATTGTATCTAATTGGTAGAGATGTCTGTCCACGATTCCATCCACGATTTTTCGTTCAATTTGTAAGATTTCACGAGATATTATTATAAAATTGCAAATTAATTTTGCAAATATGATAATTACGTAAATATTTCAATTTTATTGAATTAATTCTTTGCTCATCGTGTGTGTCCATAAGTTAAATTAATTCTCAGCTAAAGTTCAAATACCTGTAAATATAATTCCCACCGATTAAATTCGTGACAAGTCAATTTTATTTGCTGCGAAATATCCATTTCAAATCTTTGAAAAAAGGGGTGTAATCGAAGCGTGTGACGGAATGCGACAATGAAATTCAAGTTTCAGTACGGGAAGGACTTAGGCAAATATTTTTTTATTAATTCGTCTCGCTTGGAAATGCAAATGGGCCAATCACGCGTCCGGAAGGCTGGAGCGGGCGACGCTTACTCGAGTAATTTATTCGTAAGGGCGTTAAAGTTTCATAAGTCGTGCACATAAAATGCACTCGAGAGTGGAAGAGCAAGGGTGTATCTAGGCGTTCCCTCCCCTCCCGTTCCACTCTATACTGGCGCGGCAGAAAATTATGCAGATGGCGGAGAAAAGCTTTGATAAACACGACAGTCTCTGATCGTTATGCAGATCCGCGCCACTGTAAAATGGCGGCAATCTCTCCCTCTCACTCACGGCTATATCCACCCCCTCACCCTCTCTCTCTCTCTCTCTCTTTCTCTCTCTCCTCTTCCGATCCTCCCTAGCTCGCTGGACCCAGGGGTATTTCAGTTTCTCACCCTCTCTACCAACCGTCTCACCCCTCTCTCAAACCTTTTCCTCCTCTACTCCTCTTTCTCCCCTTTTTATCCTTCCTCCTCCTGCGCTCTGCCCTCTTTTTCTCTCTCCTTTCTCTTTCTCTCTCTCCTCTCTCTCTCTCTCTTTCTCTCTTCTTTCTCTTCCGCCTCCGCCACGGTTCGCTCCTGATTTTCACACCCCGGCCACGGCATTACCAGCCCAAGTCGAGGGTGGAAATACGCGCCCTCCTGCTTGTTTCCGTAACGCGTCTGCGCCGGCTTGTACCACCCGACCGTGTGTATATACATGCACTGCAATTTCATTGGAAGATCGTGCTGCCACTTGAAGACACAAGCGAGCGGCCAGCTTCGCGTATCACTCGCGCCATCAACCATTCACCTCCTGTTCTCGAGTCCTCTTCTTCGAGACAAATCCTCTGGATAATCAGTCAAGACACCAAACTTAAAGGGGAAACGTACAATACTCACAATAACTTGCATATTTTTGTTAATCAATTTTTGGGAATAATGAAAGCGATTCATAGTTCAGGATAGGATATTAATTATAACCCTTTGTTACTGTATATTAGTTATTAGAGTGAGAATGTTTATCCAAAATGAAATCCTTATTCTTGTTTTATAAATATTATAATATGTATTATTAAATGTAATATGTATAATTAAACGCGCATTTTTGTAAATTTACATTTTGCATAAATGCATAAACATCACGAAGAGATTTCCATTCGATTCGAAATTTAATAAAAGTAATCTTTTTCAGGATCTATTTTTCAAAACGTGTATATATATATATCATCACGAGGACACGATTGAAATTCTATTCTGTTCGAATATGGATCGAATAGAATACGACACTTGGGCAACGATGAACGAATGTTTCATTAGAGGAGGACGAGATCCGCTGACGTCATCAAGTCACAATGAGAACCTCGCCGGTAACGCAATTACCGTTGAAACACAGAGGGTAGCGGAGGTGTCGGGGCAACCCCTCCGTGACGCTTGTCGAAAATTCATTTTGCCGCGCGTTTAAAATTTTCATCGGTCCTCTAATTTTCGCCGTCATCGGAACTGATCGCATTTACCGAATAATTTCCCCGCCTCCCCCGCTTCCTCTCACCTCGCTCTCGTAATTGCTCGCGCGAGGGGAGGGGGGTTTACGATTCCACGGGAACGCGAGCAACGTATCGTTTCTCATACATTGCCATCTTTTCTCTCTCTCTCTCTCTCTCTCTCTTTTTCTTTTCTCAACCACTCGGCTGTCTCTCCGAACGATGTTTTATTCATGCACATCGGGCATCGAAAGTGTTGCCGGAGTCGGCGTTTAAGTACACCGCAAACCGCCTTTCCTTGAAACCATAGAATACTTTAACGCCTCGGCTAATTGGCCGGATACGTGTTACGAATGAAAGTTTCGAGCTGGAAGCCTCGATTGCGTATCATTTCGACCCCTCTCCCCCTTTCGCGAGGAATAATATTCATTTGATTTATATTAGGATAATTGTGTCGTAAGTGATTGTTGGCAAAAAGATGCATTCGATCGTGCGTTAGAAAGTAGAATAACATTTTTAAAAAGAAGAAAAACTTTTTCTAAAAATCTACAGATTTCGAATATGATATATTGCTGATGGCATTTAATTGTTTCAATTTCTATTTTGTATCACGCTTTCTTTCTTTCTTTCTTTCTTTGTACTTATTATATCCATTTGTATCCAGTTAGTTGAATTCATTTCAATTTGAAAATTTTGCAATGAATATTTCTTTATATTCTTCTTCTTTTTATCTATTTTCGTATAAGAAAATTATTGTTTTACAACTATCCACCACGAAAACTCTTGGATTAAAACGCGGAATAATGTTGCGTCTAGACGATCGGTTTTTCGGATTGGAAGCGATTAGCATCCGATCGATTTTGGAGGAGCGGCGGACCAGTTTTTCGCTCGTAGTTTGTTTCACTTTCTCACTATGCATAATGCATGAGAGCAGTTTAAATTCTGCCCGCGTGGCAAACAAATCGTTGCCTTCGATAATATTCTCAAAAATACGTCTATATATATATATATATACGATTTTAACGATCGCGAGGAAACGATGATAGTGTCGTTCTCGAAGAAATCGGTGGAGGGATTTTTATTTTTTTGCAAGTGATTCGATCGATGATTCGCGCGACCCTCTTTCCAAGGCGGGCCTCTCGATTAAAGGACAGTTACAGAGTCGTGTGATTAAGACGAGGTGGATATCGTGTGGTCTCGATTGGTCGCCATATCACGAATGCTCGGGGCGTGGTTCGGTTACCGAGCCACTCTCGGCCAACCGTTCTCTCCTTTCAATTATTATTTAATTAAGCTAATTGGCGGGATGGGTCGAAGCCAGCCGCGATTTGCTAGCCGCTCAAGAGGAGTTCTGGGATCGTTAAGTCGACGTAAACTGTTCGTGGAATTCGAACGAATCGTAGGTACCGTTTCGTACGTGAGCAGAATCGCGAAATCGGCTAAACTGCAAATTATCTGTAATGATTATTGCAAAGATCGGATCTTTTCTTTTTTTTTCTTTCTGCTTGGAACTTTTTCTTCCTCCTCCTCCTCTTCTTCTTTTTATTGTCTTCGTTCTGCGAGGAATCGATATGACGTAATGGGAAACTGGAAACGATTAGCATAATAGTCGATGAAACGATGAACGGAAGATAGCGTAGTAAAATATATTGCAAGTGGGTTTGAATTATGTGTAATGAGTTCTTCGAATATTTTTTACAACTCGCAATTGTTGCGTTAAAATAATTTCGTTTTTATTTATTTTTTTTTTTTCTTAATTCTTATTATCGTAGAAGCAAAATAATAGTCATCAATCTGATTTCTTTCATTTTTGAAGCGTTATCCATTTAAATTATATTATTATACTAAATGAAATAAGTAATAGTCCCATATGATATTTTGAAATATTCGAAAAATCCGAAGCCTTAATATTTTATATTATCGTTGTTAGCATAGATAAATCACATTAACCCTAACTTAAGAAAAGATAAAAGATGTCAAGTATTATAACATATCTTTGAAAATGAAAAAATACACTAGATATTTTAATTTGTATAAAATTTATAATGAAATTTACAAAGGTAGATATATGTTTACATCATTTCCTTGTTTTTTTTTAGCTACAGAAAACGAAAATGGACATCGCAACAACAAAAGTAATCCTCCTCTATCGGATCTAAGTAGCCATCTCATCGAATGCAACCCCAGCAATGCACGAACATTGAATTATTGAATATCTGCAACATATTGACCTATATATATATATACATACAAAATTTATTACCAATTGATATCGAATTACTAACAAATCTAAATTTTTTTTTAGATAAATACACAATAAATAACAACTTTCATGAAGGAGGAACATTCCTTAAGAACGAAGCCATCAATGATTCTACTATAAGTATAATCGATTCATCAATCTTTTACATCAATATCGAACATTAATCAGGCAAAGTAAGGAAACTTCTATGTTTATCATCAGATAAATATTACACTTGACTTACCACCATCTACGTAATGATAATCTTTCTCAATTTCTAAATTCGACAAGGGGGGGTAAGAGTAACGACAGACTCGTATCTAAAAACAAGGTTCATCTTGGTTTCCCCGTTTCTCCTCCTCCTCCGTGTACGAGCGGCAGAAAATTTTGCAAAATTATGCAGTCCAACATAACGTGCCATTTCGGGGCGGGAGGGGAGTATCGCGCGAGTACACATCGGGACACGTGAGCATAAATTGGCTGGACGCAAAATTGGCCTGACAGTTTAACTATGACAAAAGCACAATAGAATGCGCCGTTTCCTGAACGCAGCATGCGGCTGTAATTTCTCTGTCTGTCCATCCGTCTCTCCATCCTCGGCTCTCTCACTCCCCTTCCCTCACCCCTCTCTCTTTCTCGCTTAACGATCTCTCTCTCTCTCTATCTCTCTCTCTCTCTCTCACCGCGTTCCTCCCCTCCCCCATGTTTTCCATCTTCGTCGCCCACTTTTTCGCCGCCTATTTCCATCCCCGACCGTTTTCAAATGGCGGATATCGCGGACAGTTTAATATCGTGTCGCCGTCACGAACGCTTGTTAGCGGATGATACTTTGATCCGATAGAAAATAGACTGGAAACTTGGCTCGTTACGAGACACGAAATTAAGCTTGTTTATATTCTCTATAGAGAAGGATTTTTTTTTTTTTTTTTATTCCTTTTTCGAATGGGTTTCGTTCCCAGTGATTTCGTCGGTTGTTTGAAAATTTCTCTTTTTTTTAATTTTTTGACTTTACGATTTTTTTAATCTAACGGAAAATAGTAGAAACTTGATTTATTACGAGTTATTAAAATTTTAATTTTAATTTCAGGTGGAATCTTTTCCTTTTATGTTGAATATCAGTTTAAGTATTTTTGAAAAGTATTTGATGAAATTGATCTCGATATCGATCTTAGCATAGCATTTTAAATAATAATAAATAATATCCTAAAGGGGGATCCTTAATCAATTCATCTTCCCGACGAAATCTTGGAAATTAACGATGCAAACGGCGTTGTGTTAATTCCACGGAATAGGAACTCTGACATTCTAAAAAAAAATCGTGTTTGATGACGGTTGTTACCATGACACGTCCTTTCTCGCGATCGTGAATAACAAGGAACCAACCACTTCTACGTATAAAATTAACGATCCGTCTCATCGATTAAGCCACCGTGAACGCTTCCTCGAAATTGTTAACCATTCTACGCGAGTCTCTGAAAACGACAACGTCCAGCATTCTCTCAAAATTAATTCAGACTGTGAACGAGAAACAAACGATCCCAAAACTACTATCCCTACAACTAACTCTAAATCGTCCAAATAAGGCAAAAAAAAAAGGTAAAATTTGAGTAAAATTACATTACAAAAAAAGGAAACTAAAACTGAAAAAAAGTTAAATCGTCATAGGTTGAAGAAGAAGCACTGTGCCGTTTCCTCGTCCACTAGGTAAAAAGGACGAATTTTCCACGGAGGGGGCCTGGTCTCGTTCTAAGTGGTCGTCGTTTGATGACGGTTATTACCATGATGCGCTGTTTCCTGCGACCGTGAGTATCTTCCACCCACACGTCGACAAGGAACGGCTTTGGCCGCCGTTTCCTTGTGTGGGTGCGGGTGCATGCACACGAGGAAAACAACGTAGACCGGCACGTAACCACCGATTCCGTGCACACAGACTTCGAGGTCCGACCGATTCAACGGATGTTGGTTGAACACGAGCGAAACCCCTCTCTCTCTCTCTCTCTCTCTCTCACTCTTTCTCGTGATTTCGTCATTATATAATACGCTCGTTTACACACAACATTGTTGTCGCAAATATGTCATTAATGTCGGAAATCAGCGGCCCGTATTGTAACCGCCTTTGCGTGATGCGGTTTTCCAGATTTCGCTTTGACGAGTGTGCATCCACGGACGACAGTAGATTCTCCGCCCCACAGGAAGTCGCCAATACGTTTCTGTTAAACGAATCTTTGTCGTGAGGAACGAATTACACATCTCGGTACATACAGTATTTTTCTTAATTTGCGAATTTTTCCATGCAAGCAATTGACAAGGAATGACTGAATCATTTTTTTAATATGCTTGTCTTTCCTTCTTTATACTTATTTGCACACTTTTCCTTTTTCACAGATTGCGTTTATAGAATATCTTTGGACGAATATTCTTTCCATAAATATTGAAATAAACGAGAAGAACAATTTAATTTCCCTCCAGAGACCATTACAATTTAACGTTGAAAGGGTGAAAAAACTCGATGAAAGAAGGAAATCCTTTTAAATAAGGTAAACAGATATAATAGCAATAATGATAATAATAAATTTCTAATCAAAAAATGTTCGATCGATATAAGGAATAAGGATCACCTTTCGTCGATCCCTCTGTTATTTTCACCGATGGAAGGAGGCTCGTCGCCAAGGAACTGCCCTCTTTCTCGGTTCCTCCCCCCCCGCACCCCGGGGCTAATCATGTAACTCGATTGAAGAGAACGAGCGAGAGCGGGCCAATAAGAGGCTCCCTTTAATCGCGTTACTTCGTTACCCCGTCACTCGGTGCGGTGATATCAGCGGAATATCAATTGTAGTGATTAACCAAGACGGCCGTCGTGGCCTGAAACTTCGCCCTCCCTCCCCTCCTCGTTCCAGGGAGGGACAAAGAGAAGACGAGAGGATAACATCTTTTGTCAGTCAGTAAATTAACTCGGCGGAATATTCAAATCGCCAAGTCCGCTCGAGCGGAGATCTTCGAGGCATTTCAATCGCCCAAATCCAAAATCGAGAACAATCCCCGCAAAGATTGTTTTTCCACGTTTCTGTTTTAAGACGACATCGTTATTCTAACCTAAATTTCGTGCAAATTTTTCTTTTATACATATATATATAGTAAGATTTCTTTCTCAGTAGTATGATAATAATAATAAATTTCTAATCAAAGATTCGCAAGATATAAAGAAGGATCATCTTTCGTCGATCTCTCTGATATTTTCAGCGATGGATGGAAGTATGATGTAATTATAAATTTAAAAATTTAATTCAATTATGAATCGTCACTTAAAATTCACAATTTTGTTATTAATTAATCAGTTCACAAATTGTAAAGAGGAACAAATCTATGATCAATCGTGGATAGATACAAAAATTGGAAATATTCGTGAAAGAATCAGATCCTCGTTTCCCATTTCTGAGAATGATTAACGATTTGGCTGACGTCACGTGATTTCACCGATCGATTCGGAACTCGTGAAATTCGTTACCAATTAGCCGAACATGGTTGGCGAACGTAGGAAAAGACGGGGTTTACGAATTAGACACGGTGTCATGACCCGGTGAAATCTGTGTGCCCGAGGCCACATCATAATAATGCGAGGATCGGTGGGAGTGTTGGACACCGAGGGTGGCGTCGAGGCGAAAGAGTACTGTATCGACACAGCTGTCCAACGCACGGGAAACGTGCTCACCGCCATTGTGCCGGCCGGTGCACGGTCTAACCAACCGTAAACACCTAAAATCTAATTGACGAGATTCGATTTCGCGCCGACAATGGCCGGCCGCGACGGATTATCGCGTCTCCGGCCTTCTATACTTTCCAAAAATTACACAGGAATCGGGCGTATGAATTCGTCACGGGCCAAGGATCCGGCGAAATCCTTCGTCGAATCGCGTTAACGGCATTGCTTGCGTTCAGAGCACGTGCGACGAACCGTTAAGCCGATCATCGCGCGTTAAAATCTCGAATCTCTTGAAAATTGCGACTAAAATATGTGATGGGTGAAAAAAAAGAAAAAAAAAAGAAAGAAAGAAAAAAGGCTATTGTTGCCTACCGTGAGAGAGCACACGGTAAATTGATTTAAAAGATTTAGTTTCCAATTTATAGGGGTAGAGGTAGGTTGAAGTTCAATGCTATGGAAGATTCAAAGGATTCTTAAATTAAAGGTTCAATCATACATTAATTTAATTATTCGCGTAGAAAAGGATTATTTTTCAATTTACATGGAGTAGGTAAAGTTCAAGTAGAATTAAAATGAGTGAGGTAATTTAGAAATTGGTAAAGAAGAATGAAATTATTAAATACACATTTTTCTAATTGATTAAAGATTTATTTTTCAATTTATAGGAGCAGAAGTATAGGAGTTGAAGTTCAATGCTATGGAAGATTCAAGAAGTCTTAGAAAATTAAAAGTTCAATCTTATATTAATTTATTCGCGTGGAAAAAGATTATTTTTCAATTTACATGGAGTAGGTAAAGTTCAAGTAGAATTAGAATGCGTGAGGTAATTTAGAAGTTGGTAGAGAAGAATGAAATTATTAAATACACGTTTTTCTAATTGATTAAAGATTAATTTATAGGAGCAGAAGTATAGAAGTTGAAGTTCAATGCTATGGAAGATTCAAAGTCTTAAATTAAAGGTTCAATCATACATTAATTTATTCGCGTAGAAAAAGATTATTTTTCAATTTACATGGAATAGGTAAAGATCAAATAGAATTAGAATGCGTGAGATAATTTAGAAATTGGTAAAGAAGAATGAAATTATTAAATACACGTTTTTCTAATTGATTAAAGATTTATTTTTCAATTTATAGGAGCAGAAGTATAGGAGTTGAAGAATGCTATGGAAGATTCAAAGTCTTAAATTAAAGGTTCAATCATACATTAATTTATTCGCGTGGAAAAAGATTATTTTTCAATTTACATGGAGTAGGTAAAGTTCAAGTAGAATTAGAATGCGTGAGGTAATTTAGAAGTTGGTAGAGAAGAATGAAATTATTAAATACACATTTTTCTAATTGATTAAAGATTAATTTATAGGAGCAGAAGTATAGAAGTTGAAGTTCAATGCTATGGAAGATTCAAAGTCTTAAATTAAAGGTTCAATCATACATTAATTTATTCGCGTAGAAAAAGATTATTTTTCAATTTACATGGAGTAGGTAAAGTTCAAATAGAATTAAAACGAGTGAGGTAATTTAGAAGTATGTAGAGAAGAATGAAATTATTAAATACACGTTTTTCTGTTTAAGACTTATTAATATTTTCATATATTTCAGGTGGGAATTCTTCAACACTCTCTGAAACGTGTCCTTAATAAATCAAAAAGAACGCATGCTTTTCCACGGAATATCTTTAATTGTGATAAATCTTACTAATCCCTAAAGCACATAATTCCGAGAATGATCGCTTTTTGTTTTCGTATTTCCATCAAAATGCTTTTCTTCCCCAATCCGAATCCGAAGAGAGAGAGAGAGAGAGAAAGGGAAAGGATATTAGGCAGGGTGAATTATCGTAGAATCAAAATAATTCGATAGATGGGGTGCCGTGTAGTACGAGAGGGGTGGCCATTTCTGCACGTTGGGGCGCCAAAACATCCCCCTTTACTCGCTAAAATATTGTCAAACGATCGATCCTCCTTACCTTTCTCCTCTTTTAAAAAACAAACGTCCAAATCTTCATAATCATCCCATACGTGTTTACGTATTATTATTTTAACCCTTTCATTAAAACCGTGATCATTTATTTTAAAAAAATCCATTCAAATTCTCGCGAGGGAAAAACTTGCATCGAGAGTGGCAATACGACAATACTTTAACCGCCCATGTTCCATATCGTATTTATTCATTCGAGCTAATTTTTTGGGCGTGGAATCGCCTATTAGATTGTCGTGTTGTGCCTAAGGGCAGATTGACGCCGTGGCTTGGAAAAAAAAAAAAAAAAAAAAAAGAGAGAGAAAGTAATCGAGACAGCTGCCAGAACCATCGAATCATCATCTTTACAGTGATTTCCGCGTCGTTCGATTATTTTTAACGGCGATTCGCGGGATTTTGAAGGAAGGTTTCACGAGCGTGTACGTGACACGAGCGGGGATCGTATTTAAAATGCAGAAAGGCAAACGGTGGCGTGTCAAGAGCCCCCGTCAGGTGGCCGGTTTAAATAGCACAATGGCTCAATCCGGGGCGAAAATCCGCCGGGTAAATCTCCCATTCAAATGCGATCTCAATCCCCTGCATCAAATGGGATCTAAGTAGCTACTTAGTTGCACATTTGGCTTTGAAATTTTCGATACACCCCTGCTCCCTCGCCGACAAGAGCGTGCTAGAATTCCGCGATCCTATCTCCACGCGCTTTTGCGATAGAACCACCACCGTACCTGGACTTACGCGTCACGCTAATCCGTTTTCGAAATTCGCCCTTATGCCAACTATTATGTTACACGTTCTCGTACGAGATGTATCGAAACGAAAAAAATCTGCGATTCTTCGAGATCTAATTGTAAAATAGGGTTAAGATAATATAGAATTTATAGATATGTATATTTACAACAATTTGTATAATCTATCTGTAATTTTTACCACTGGATGTGTACAAGATTTTAAGAGTTTAAAATTGATACTTAAGAGTAAACTTAACACTCGATCATCCATTTGGTTAGAAAAAAAATTTAAAATTCTTTAGTGATGGTAAATTTAGAATTTTTGTCACGGATGTTGAGAAATTCTTCCCTTTCCTTCGAGAAAATTATTCTAAGCGCTCATCTTAATCTGGGACGGGAAGTTTGGCATAAAACTTGGCCTGAAAGGGGGATCGGATGTAACGTCACTAATTCAATCGGGATCAATTAGAGGAACGAAGTGTTTTCTATAAATTCACGAGGTTAACGAGATTCCAATTCGGTATATAATTACGAACGATCGGGCCGCAAGGGTCCCTCGGTTAGCCGATCCTCCACCGCGGACGGGAATAATTAGTTTTAATTGCCCCAGCGAAACTTATCCCTCCCCGTTGACGCATTAAGACCAAAGTTAGACGGGCCACAGGAGGTTTAGGTTTTGCGAAGCGTGAGCAGGTAAGGTATACACGTACTACGTGACACGGTTGGTAAACCCAAAGCTGGCTTTGTTAAGCTCGGATTCTGAGTGCCTTTGATACGTGTACTTGCACGCTAACTAACCAACCTAAGCTATCCACAGCGAGCTCGCTGTACGTACGAGAGGTGCGCGTGTGTTATATGCTTTTCTATATCGTCCCAGGCAGGGACGTGTAATTGTTGGTTCATTGATTTTATGATTTTTCAATTTTCTCCTATTTTTGAGAATTTTCTCGCGCCGATGTATTCCAATTCAACGATTACGAGTTAAAAAATCGCGTGGATATTTCTCGAAGAAAACAAGTTAATTGATCTTTCGTTCTTTAATTTTTTCATTAAAGAAGACGATAATCGGATCTTAATCGGTGAAGAGTAAAAAATGACGGTTCATTGGTTTGAATTATAGGACGATACGCGAAGAAATGAAATAACTCGTTGTCCCGAGCAAATTGGTTAAAATGTAGTCGTAGGAGCCCGTAGTGATTCGACGTCCCTGTCTCTTACCTATGTTACCCTCGACATCGTCTATACGAGTATGACCTACACGTGCGCGATACATTTCCAACTGGGAATTGAATTTCCTTGGTAATTTTAATGCCATTGTGGCTGAAGGGGTGGAGAGAGGCACCGAGACAGAGGGTAACAAACACAACCACAAAGTGTGCATCCCCTAACCACCTCGTAGACGCAAAATTTAGTTGGAGACGAATACGATATCCTTGCCATTCCCGCGTGGTTCTCCGCTCGAAATGATTCGAGCGTATGAAATTTAGACGTTCCTTTGCTGCTCGCAAATACGGCACAAACGAACGAAACATACGAATCATCATTTTAATGAATCGTTCTTTTTATACTAATTTAGTATGAATATTAAACATTTTTCGTATAAAATTACGCGAATAATAAGAGTGAAGAAAGAAGAGAAGATTGTGTATTATTTTTTAAGTGATTTTCGAAAGAAAAAAAAAAATAGTATCGAGAAATTTTATGCTTCCGCATAAAATGGAAATGATGGATTAATGGTGGTTTATTTTCAGTATTCTATTGAAATCCAAAAAGCCAAAAGATACGAAGTGATATAACCACTTAAGAAAGCTTTGACTAAAGTTCCAACAGAATCTGTGCTGCGAAGTAAAGCGGATTTTCTCACATTGAAGTGCTCCCTGTTATATCTTTATAAATGGAATCACTCGAGAGCGAGGAGGAAAACGACAGCCTTTATTGCTCGTAAGATTTAAAATATATTAATAATGATACCAAATACTCTTTTAGGAATTAATATTACTTATCTATGTACGTTTGAATAATTTGAATAAAAAAATAAAAAAATTTTCATATGGAGAAAATTACAAGAATTTATTAAAATAAATATAGATTAAATATGTCTTCAAGCAATATTGAAAATTGAATATAATTATTTATAATTCAAAAAAAAAAATTATTATTGTATTCTTAAAATTAAAATTTTGAAAATTTTATACCATACATGATATAGAAAATTCACTTTATCATGTAATGATAAGGTAGGAATTTGATATATAGTTGATAAAGTAGGAATTTGATATATAGTTGATAAAATAGGAATTTGATATAGAGTTGATAAAGTAGGAATTTGATATATAGTTGATAAAATAGGAATTTGATATATAGTTGATAAAGTAGGAATTTGATATATAGTTGATAAAGTAGGAATTCAATATACAGTTGATAAAAAAGTTTATCTTATAAGCAAATATCATTGATCATTAGCAAATAATAAATTTGATAATAAAATAGATAAAATTTAATAATTTATTTTTACAATTATTTTATTTTACATAAAATTACAAAATAATAAAAGAAAAGTTAATAATTTATAAATATTAACTAATTATTTTGATATTATTAGTTGATAAATTATCATACGAGAATATAACGTTCAATTTCTGAAATATCGATTTCGTAAAAAAATTGGAGTGTTTCTCATATTCTCTATATTATAATTTTAAAAATACTTAATCTTAATCTATTATTTCAACAATTAAAAATGTAAAAAAAAATTTTTTTACAAAACTAAATTCTAAAATATCATAAAATAGATAAAATTTTCTTATACATATTCTTATATATGAAACAAATAACTATAATAATTTGATGTTTATTTTGAATAAACTTATTTCTCTCTTTTTAGTTCCTAAAATAATAAAACATATAGCACAGGTTTTTATTTCATTTTTTTTTTAATTTAATTTTATATATGTATAATTATAATGTGCTAGATGGCATAAGACACATCTTTCTTAAGGTTGGTATTTTAAAATATGTTATACAAAATCTCACAAGATGTCACCTCTGTTCTGTTTCTTGTTTGTGACGTTATAACATCGATCATTTTTTGCACAATCGGTATTTCCGGAATTCTACAAATCTCTTCTGGTTGTATCATGAGAATATGCGAAAATAAATTACGCATTAAAAAATATATATTTAATAAATATATATTTTACTTTTATTAGACTTTTTAACTGCTCATAGAAATTGAATTTGAATTGTTAAAAATAAAAAGTTTTATTTAAAATATTGCATAAAAAATAAAGATAATAATAATAAAAGTAGGAAGAAATTATTTCAAATATATATATATATTTTATTCCAAATAAATTTCATTTTTTTAAAGATTCTATAATCTATATATCATCCGAGTTAAAGTTTTCAAAGTAATTCAAATAATGATCACATGTGGTGCACTGATCGCCATTGCGAATCGATGAGAGCGAGTCGAGCGTTGAATGAAGTGTAGCAAAGTTATTTCGCGTCCGATAAATCTCGACTCAGTCGACGGAGCTCTCGATTGTGCGTACATTGGCAATCGTGACCACTATCGATATCGGGGCCACGCACTGCCATCAGAGTATAGAAAGTGCTGCTACGGATGTTGAACAGGTGTCCCCACTTCGATACTCTAACCTCGGCGCTGCTTTCAGTGGCTCTGCAGTGTCGGATGTACACGTATGTGCGACGTACGGGATGTGCACCTGGAGGCGTTCTTGTTACTAGGTCATAAGAGGTGCGTATCAATGAAATTCGTGCTAATCAACCGTTGCTCGCAGAAAGTAGACACGTCTACAGTCACGGGAACAGACCGCGTGTGTGACATCGTACGCCGTCGTATTAAGTGCATTCGACGAGAAGTTTGACCGATTGTCCGCTGCTCGCACCTGGCGTCTCTCGCCAGTCTGATCCATCATCGTGTGTGCATTCCGCGTCCTGCTTTCCTTTCGTACTTTGCACGAGCAATCGTGCTTCGCGAACGTTTCGTGTTGACGTGTATAAGATTACAACAATCGCAAAACGTCCGGGTTTACAGTGACATATTGATATCTTGTTACGTGCCACGATGAATTCCACGTTGCTATTACTGTGGGTCTAATAACAGACTACTGTGGTGTGTAGAGCACGAATCCGACGGACATTCATAATTTTATGTTGTGCTCAAAACGAAACAACGTCGGGTGAACCAGAGGCTGACCAAACACCGAACGAAAGAACGCGCTCTAAAGCAGGATAAAACTGGGTAATGTCTTTTTAGCTCGTATCACGCGACCGCTACCCGACCATGTGGTGTTCCAACGTAACGGTGCTACGTGGATAGGTATATACGTAATATTTGTTCTCTGATGTGGACGTGTGTAATTATACTATTCTTGCAACAATATATATGCACATATATAAATATATATACATATTTATATTTAGTGTAGCATGTATTTCCAATTCACTGTAGAATTGTAGTGCGCGGATTCCATCCTGTTCTTGCCAGTCCGGTCGTGAAACGAGTAATCTTATTCTACCGGCTATGTCGGTATTCCGTTTAAAGGAATGCGGCACACCTGCTCGTCTTTTACTGTATTTTCAAGGTCTTTCAAATTAAATTTTGTTTTAATCCATCAAAGATTTTTAATTGAATCATTTTTGAATAAATTATTAGACGAATAGAATCTGAAAGTATAGTTTTTGAATGTAGGAAACTTTTAATTCGAATATTTCTGGAATGATACAATATTTATAAAGTATGAATGGAAATATATATAAAAAGTGTATAAAAATAATCATAATTACTGTGTAATTAAAAAATTTAAAGATAAAATCCAATTAAAAATAACAAGTATGAATAAATAAGCTTAAATTTGAATTTGGTTTAGATTTCTATTAGGTTAGGTTAACTGAATTTCAAATTCAAAGATTAAATTATAGTTAAATTATAGTTAAATTTAAATTTTTCATAAACTCAAATATATAATTCAAATGTTTTAAATCATTTATAGATTTTGAACAATGAGTTTTATTTTTTTTTAATTTTACATGAAAAATCATTCGATCCATTATGAATCATTGCGAATAACCTTCATTAATAGTAGATAAATAATTCATGAAGACAAGCCGGTTTTTTCCATCGAAGAACGTTAAATAAGTAAATGCAACATACCTCGACACTGATTAATAAAACGAGTGAAAGGTCTACCGTGTAAAATTCTTTCTCGTAGGTTGATGAGTGAATTGCGTAGTTCAAAACGGCATGCTATTCAATCTATAAGGACACGTGTATTCAATCCTTGTATAGTTAGAACAAATGATTTCATTGCGATAATAGACTTGAAAATTTGATCACGGAGAATGCATTAAAATCGCATTTAATATCGAGATATATTTCGGATAATTCCGTTTGCTTGATAATGCCACGCGATTAGCATATTTGCTTATAGTAACGATTTGTAATACTAATGATAAATAGATATGAACGATTTGCGTTCGGTTAATGTCGATATTATGATGAAATTTCCTGTCAGTATAATATGCAATTTAGAAATTTCGAAAATTATGCATGATACAATCTGAATAAATCCTGATATCATGGGATTAAAACAATATTATTTTCGTAGATTACAGTATTACAATAAAAAAATAATGGAATGGAACTTATATATTGTAAATTATATATAAATAAAAAGAAAAGATAATTTAATATACGAAAAATATTTTTAAGTTAAATTTTCTATTGATAAAATATCGTTTTACACTGATTATGGGAAATGGTAATCTAGTAATTATAATCTTCGATAAATTTATAATAAATCAATAATCAAATATCGATTTTTTTTATTTCTTGATTATAAATAGATTCAAACAAAGGATAAAGTTAATTTTTAGAACTTTAATCGAAACATGAATATTTCATTTCACTTGTTCGAAAGTGGAACGTCTTAATCGATTCAAGATGGCTACATAATTGGTTCTTTTTTCTGATTGGAGGATCAAAATATCTATTATTAAATTTATTTTAAATACAGCTTTAGCATAATGAGATTAAATGATTCTAATCAATCGTGACAATGATTTTCATTGTTGTAAAGTGCATTTTTTTTCTATTTTCCATCTCGCGTTAATTATGCACGAACCGTAAAATTTCAACTAACCTTATATTTTATGCACTATATCCGCTTCGTTTTCAAATTTCGATCTATATACGACATAATATGATTCTGTCGGTATTGTAGTTCGTTTTACGCAGTCACGGGAAGGATCTTTTAAAACGTTAACGGTCATTATACATCGCATTTCGTTTAATAAAGGAAAATAAAAAAAGAAAAGAAGGAAATAGAATCACTGGACGACTTTCGTGAGTGAAATAAACCGTGAACATGACTGCATGGAGTAAAAAGTGTAATTTGTTCACAATAAATCTTCCATGTCGTGTAGACGCACATACTTTTCGTAAACGATATAAATAGTGTTTTTCGCGCGCATAAGTAGCATTATTTGAAATGAATTATTTCACTAAATATCTTTTAGAAATCTGTGTTATACTGGTAGCATATCATAAAATTGACTTATAATTATCTATATACGATAATTCGTATGATAGTTCGTATATGGATCGTATCTAACCTCTAATTTTTTTTTTCTTTCGAATATATAGATAATTCGCAAATTTGTCGTTATATCATATTTTATGTTTGATATATAAAATTATTATTTAGAAAAAATTGCAATTTGGAAGTTATTGGATTAAAAATTTAATTTTGTTGTGTTAACATGTCAACGAAGATAGGATAATAGTGTAAATTTTCGAATATGTATGTGTATAAACTTGGCATGAATTAGTAGGCTTTATGAAACTGAGGTACCTATATTCGTTGCAGTTTATCGATACTTGGATGAGAAACCTTTAGAGACAGCTAGTTACGATGTAACGAGAATGGTTCACGACATTCGACCCACACAGTCATGGTTTTCAACAAGTCACGCAGTTCTTTTATGATTGGATTTGTAACACTACGTGCTGGAACATTAGTCTTGCATATATTCGGTATGTTTGATATACTTCTAATAAATCAATAAATTAATTTTTATATAATACGATCATTATTATTCCATGTATTTGATAACTATTTTGATATATATTTTTCTTTTTTTCCACTTTTTTCTTTCGTTTTTTTTTTTGTTTAATCGATATTTAATCGGTCAATACTAACTTTTATCAAGTTAACAAAACTATTTTATTGATTAAAATAGTTATTTTGTTTTAATGATTATGATAAAAAGAGATTCTTTTCAACTACTTTGTAGATATTATATCTACGTAATATATATAAGCCTATAGAAAGTTTAAACGATTACTGAAATCAAATACACCGAATATATATTACAAAAATCCAAATTAAAATTATATATACTTTACTTTAATCTAAAAAATTTATATTGTTATTTCTAAATGATTATCTTATGAAGAAAAATATAAATTTGTTTTTGCATTAGATATGCGTTATTTTATACTATATATTTATACTATTTTAGTCTTATAAAATATTATCTATATTTAGATTATCTATGTTTAACCATGATAATATAAAATATATTCACATACTAAATAATTTTTATCTAATATATGAATATATTAGTAACTTAATATATTCATGTATTAGATGTTTATTAATATATTTAAAACTAATATTTTTTTAAAACTATAAAAGCAAAAACATTTTTTATTAATATAATTTTTTTTCTAGGTTAAATATATTTTTATAAATGACATAAAGATGTTTAAAAATATAGTATAGTAAACATGTTTTATGTTTAAAAAATATATAATAATAATAATTATGATAGCAGATAAAAACTTATTGATATATATTCTAATTTTATAAATTGATACATGTAGAGTACATGATAGAGTTTTTAATTTCTTTTATACATTTCACAGAATTAATGAAATGTATATCATGCATTATGATATTCAAAAATAATTTGATTAATACATATTTTTAAATATTTTTTTTTTTTTTTTAATATAATTTTTCTAAAATATATATTAATCACTTTCATATTTCCTATATATTGGTAATTTATTCGCTATTACCCAGAAAATGCCGGTTTTGTGACCCGTATAAAGTGGTGCATAATAACGGTATTCGTATGATACTGCGATCTTCATTGTATTGCCGGTATTGTATGAGGTTCGCCAACATAATTAGAATTACTTCCGACATTATGGATTTCAAAAAGTGAGATAAGAAATTGAAAAAAATTGGAATAAAAATAATAATTGAACAATATTTTATTGCAATACTTAAATACATTACATGATCGCAAATGGCACAAATATTACACATTGTGCTAGATTTCTTTTAATATCCATTATAATTATCTTAAATACGTATTTCCAATATGTCGTTACCTCGTACATATAGATTAAAACATACTTAGCGTTATTTCATAACGATACTTAACGAAGAGCTTGACGCTTATAATATTTTAACCTACTTTCGTCACCTTCGAGTTATTGGTCGTTTTCTTCGTCGATAATTCAAGCAGGTTATAATGGAAGGGAATAGAGAACGAATGGAATGATACGGCAGGCGCGATTTTCAACGGAAGAATTTCATTCTCGGACCAAACAATGGACGCGAGAACTTGAATCATCGCGCGAGTTAATTACGACAGGAGCGCTTGCATTGCGAATTGCATTGCACCGGAGGATGCCTCGCCATGAATTCTGTCCCGTATATTGGATCAGTCTTGCTTTACGGCTCATTTCGTGGTGCGCAGACCAACGCTAACAACCGGAAATGGACTAGATTCTCTCGTGAAGATAAATTGAACAATCATTGAATAATTTTTCTTCTTTTCTTTTTTTTTATTTTATAGTAAAATGATATTTTGTTTGTTTAATGAGGTAGAATTTAATTGAGATTGAGATAATCAATTGAGATAGATCAATTGATTATTTGAAGGATGATAATAAATATTAGAGAATTTTATCGGAATTTTATGAAAAATATTTTCAATTTGTTTGCTATAAGTATGTATTAATAGGTTTGTTAGAATTAATTAATAACTGTAATTTTATTTTGTTCTTTTTATTTTGTATTGTTCTTTTTTTTTCAAAATTAAAAAAATCAAATTTGATAAAACTTTTTCCATGATAATTTTTAATACTTTATTGAATATAATCAATCAAGGAAATTGATAAATAATATCTGTTGAATTTATCGTGAAATTATTTTCCTAAATAATTTGTGATAAAATCATGCATTCAATTTTGTATTGTTAGCAAAGCACTCAATGAAAATTTGATTGAAATTACTTTAGTGGTTTCAATGAAAATGGATCATAAGCTTTCTCATATAGATATCTATTCTCATAAATACTAATTAGAAATATTCGCTCGTATATTAGTTCATTGTTGCATATAAAACGTCGCTTTCTTAAATAATTTGATTAAAATAATTTCCACATGATACTATATTTTTTCCTTCATAATTGACTAATTTTATTATTTCATATTTTTAACAATCTCTATAATTTTCTTAAAGTTTATATAGAATTTCTATAAAATATTATACATATTTATAATATTATTTTTCAAAATTCAATTTATAGACTCATTCTAATTAGTCATTAATCATAATGAGATTATTTAATATTCTTGTTATAAATTTTATCGATTTTTATTTTGATTAATAATGAATTAAAATTTATATAAGTGATATTAACATCTCGATTTCAAAGTTTGTAATATGATAATATATAATATGATAATATACACATCAAATTATTACAATATAATAAATCACTTTGTTACGATGCAATCTTATCCAAAATCAATATGTATTAGATAAGAAGATAGAAAAATATTATACATGAGTTTATTTAGATAAAATAAATTTTCAAACAGAAATAAATTTAATCTTACTTAATTCGCGCTTAAGTTTTTATACCAGTATTCATTATTTAAAAAAATATGAAACAATAAATTAGAAATCTGTGTTTAGATTCACCATGATTTCATCGATGAAAAATCGATGCCTTGAAGAAAATGATGGTTTATTTACGAAAAATGTTCGCGTATTATTCGTAATTAGTTTTCTCAATAAGAAACTTTCTTGAAAACATGTTTCCGTAAAAAAATATGTCTAGAACAGTATTATGCGATAAGAATTAGTCAGATTTACATTAAGTCAGATTTTTTATGTTTAAACTTTCGAAGAATATAACAAAATAATAAAACAATAAAATAATATATTGGGTGTCGTCGCAGTTATTTTTATTTTTGTAATTATTTTATATAGGATTTCTGTAATTTTCAGCACTTTGATTATTTCAATATAACTACTATCTACTTACATGCAAATATTAAATAGAAGTGACTTAACTTATCTATTCTGATAGACAAGGAAAAATATTTATTCAAGATTTATATTGATCATGCATATTACATTTGCTAGAACAGGTTTCTAATATCCTTTCTAATTTATTGCCATTTTAATTCATCTTTAAAAATTAAATATTATATATTTAATAATTATTTAATATATAATATAATTTATAATATATATTTATAATATATATAATTTAATAATTATTTAATTTTATCAAAAATATATCTTTATATAATTATGAAAATGAAGATTACTTGGTTATTACAAAAGTGGGTTTTGTTTTTAAAAAAAATATCTTAATTGGAGAAAATTGATTAAATTAATTTTCTTTCACATCTCTTAATTTTAAATTATTCCATGACACAAATAAAGATATATACATACAGGATGTCTTATTCATAGCACAATTTGGGGGATGATCTCTTATTAAAAAATAAGTCGAAAAAAAGAGAACAAAATTTTTCTATATTTTCTCGAGTAATTTTTAAATCAAAAAAAAAAAATTTATTCTATATTCTTTGTTTATTTTCACACACAGAATTATTGCATTTGCATAATTCATTTATATTCCAATCGTCATTTAAATTTCATTACTTCAAAAATCTCATTTTATTTTTTCTTTCCACATTATTTCACGAGGATGTATCACCCTCTGCCGGTTGTATCACGAATAACGGGATATCCCTTATATTCACATTTCCATCATTCTATTTCGAAACTGTCTTCACTCGCTCCACTTAACTTCTATCATTTCCACACGTATGTACAATGTAACTTTTTCACCGGTAGATCCTTCGCTCCATTTCGTTTTCGCAAATTGCACAAAGAAATCGTCGTTCCGGAAGGGGTGAGAAGACGATTGGAAATTCGAAGTTACAGTGAGATCGATGGAGGGAAGTCATAGGATTCTCGACGACGTGAGAAAGTTGAAAAGCGCTTTTATAAAATCCATAACGCGTCTTGCACGAGCATTTTGTAGCTACGTGTTTCGGATAAAATTATTGCAAGAAGAACTCTTGCACTTGCGGGTTGTGAGAAGAAACATGCCATTGAAAATGGCCATCGAACATCCATCATTCCGCGCGAAAACAGAGAAATGGAAATTTCGTTGTTAAATTCAATTTCTGACGATATTTTTCTTTTGATCCCGATGATTGATCTTTCGGGTTAGCGTTTGCTTTGATGATTCGATAATAGATATTGCGATTGGTTGTGATTTAGACGGTCTCCAAAGGGATGGAAATTTTTGGAAGGTTGAGATATATTTTTGAGAATTTATAATGATTTGGCAGTGAATAGTATTGGACATTTTGTTTTTAATTAGATTAAAATTGAATTATTAACATAAAAATTCGTAATTTTCGTAATTAAAAATTCAACATTCTGTTTGATAGATATATATTTGTAGATATATATTTGTTAGGCTCTCTAAAATTTTGAAAAAGAGTTTGGCGAGAATAATAATGAACAGTCGTTCGATATCAGTTCGTTATATTATTAATTTGATTCTTTATAATTAAAATGGATTAATCGTAAAATGTCGCTGATAATTTTCATTGGTTTAGGAAATTACTCATCGATATTAATAAGTGAATATTATAATATTAATCGTTAAACGTCAATTGTTGATTAAATTGTTTGACTATTA